CTCCCTTCAGTGCGTGGAAGTTCATGGTTCTCTACATCTTCCTATCGTTTGTAGCTATTATCAATACTTGTCTTTTCGTTTTTGTTTCCAATATCTGTTATGCCAGCCATTTAGAAAGGCTCGTTATGTAGGTGGCTCGCTCCTTTCTTCTGTCCCTCCTGTCTCATGTTTATTTGTTTCTCCAATCGCTCTTTTCTCATTAGGTTTCAGAATTTCCACTCTAATTATAAGGGTTCTTTTTGTCTTTCATTTCATTAAAATATACTCGTTATTCACATGTTTCGTCCATGGGATTCTCAGCATCCTTCTGTAGAGCCACATTTCTGTTGCCCCAAGTCTCTTCTTTATTTGTGTGGAAATTGCCAAGCATTCACTACCATATGGGTAGAGCGATACTACATAACAGCTCAGTACTATTTTCGTTTTCTCTAATAGAATTTTCCTCGGTATAATCGTTGTATGTTGTTTTGTGTGTGTATATTTATTTTTTACAATGATGTTCATACTGTACAGGGTTCAAGATCCACTTAAGAGTAAGAGACACCACCCCAAGTAAGAGGAAATGCCATCAAGATACAAGAAGCCACAGCAAATGAAAGAGAAGGAACTGGCATTAGAGGAAACCGGAAACCCAATCCTAAACAGGAAACAAGGGATAAACCTCTTCTCCTGTTCAAAAGACCGGGGAAAAGTGTGAAGCGGACAATAGGCAAACCTATCTACTCATATGTTGAAGAAACAGAAATGTTCCTGAGCAGGCGTCTGCAACAGGGATTAACCAGCTACCCTAGACATGTTCCCCTAGCGGACAGGAGTACTCGGATACGAGTTGCCAGCCAATTACAAAGTTGCCCTTGTCTCACTAGAAATTGTTAAAATCATTCTGCTAGAAAATGAAGAACATCTTTTGTTTTCTATTATTTTTTTTTTTTTCGAGTAAACCATTTTTGAGATTTAACTCCGAACCTTTGATACTTCTTCGTGTTTTTTATTCCGGTCACGAAAGTTTGCTTCGCTTCCTTCAGCGAAGTACTTCAAATTGCTTGAAACAATCTTTCCTTCCGATAATTCATTCCCTCCATTGCTGTAAATCTTACCCACTTCTGTTGAAGCCGAGCTTCCGTTTTCTTTTCTACTTCCTATTCTTATTACATTTCCGGTCTAGACTCGTTCGTTCTTCGTTTTCTAGCACCATAAGTCTACTCCCTTTCTCCATTCAATTTGCCACGCTTGTTTCAACTTTCCTCATTCGACTTCTATTTTTTTTTCCCCCTTCAACTTTCTCGTCTCGAAAACCTAGTTCAGGCAAAAGGTGAATAAGTTTAAATATCGTTTGACCTATATGCAAATTGCCATCCACTCATATCGATGTTCAAAGACGTCTTGAGATTGACCTCTAGACGGACTCATAAGCTACTTAATTGTATATTTGACCATTTCTTTCTTTCTCTCTATCACTCTCTCTGCTTCCTTCTCTGTTGAAATACCTGATTGTCAGGTTCACCGTCTTGTTTTGCTGAAATAAGTGTCTTCTTTATCTTATTTCTTTGTTGGTGCAAGATGACTGATTTTGGAATCGAGGCTTTGAATGGCACCAGCAAAGGCCAATAAATATAGGGTCTCGACATGTGGAGATATCTTCTTTAAAACTTAACAGATAAATATTGGCTAAATTTCGCGTGCAAATCATGAGAGCCAGTTTTAAATTCCAAAGACGGATCTGTAATCTTATTGGTGCTGAACTGGCATCTCGACTTCAATTAATTTCCCACCGCCGTGACGTACCTTCTATGTTTCTATAAATATTTTCATTGCATTTATTCAACTTCACTTCTTGGATCCTTGACCGCGTGAATTTAGACGTACTGCTAGATTGGCAATTAGGTCTCATTGTTGAAATAGTTAATTGTAACCATAAGTTCCATTATGCTTTGATGTGTGCTGTGGTGTAATGGATATAAGCTCAGAATGCGAAATCAGAGAGCCGAGTTCGAATAGCAGTCGGGTTCGTTACATTCACTTACGCGCAAATACCTTCGGAAAAACGTATGACTCCATATCTTCTCCTCTCAGCTATGGGTTAAATAGCAGGACAGACTGGGTTCTTTAGCCTTGTTTGGCAAACAGTCTACCGCAGACAGAAATGGCAACCTATTGTTTGAAATCTTCTGCCTCGTCGGTTAGAATCGAAAGAAACATGATCGCCCAAGCGTGTTTCACGTATGGTACTTAACTGACTGAATCTTTATTTTAACAGTTTCTTTTCTCGTTTTCCCTACCCTAATTAACATTTTTCGGGTTTTTTTCTTCCCTGCCATCGACAATCTTAAAAACTTAAATGCAGTGTTAATCGCTATCTTCTGATTTCATGAAACCTGTTCTTTCTTGTCATAAATTCTTCTTATTTATTTTCCACTTCCAGTAATCCCTTACATCTTAGCAGTATTATCGTCTTACTTGAGTTGAAATGATTAAAAAAAAGAAAAAAAATATTTAAAATAAATGTTCTAGAAAATTCATATTATAATTTTAATTGTTCCTTAGTTACTTAATTATTTAGTTAGTCAGCTTGTTACACTCTACCAATATCCCCCATATAATGAACTATTCCGCTTTGATCACGAGGAAAGCCATAACAGAGATTCTGTTTGGATTTAATGAGAAAAAGAAAGGAAGAGAAGATAGATTAGGTGATAAAGTTCTCATGTTCTTAAAGTCTGCTTCAGTGAAATGGAAAACTTATCAATTGTAATCTTTGCATTTGTACCCTCTTACTTCTTTAAATAATGAAAGAAACGTTCACACTGATTATTGTTATTGCAATATTTGGTTAAAGTTTTTCAGCTCAAATATTTGGTTAAATTTATTAAGCATACATATTTGGTCAAAGTTGTTGAGCTTAAATATTTGGTTAAATTTATTAAGCATACATATTTGGTCAAAGTTGTTGAGCTTAAATATTTGGTTAAATTTATTAAGCATAAATATTTGGTTAAAGTTGTTGAGCTTAAATATTTGGTTAAATTTATTGAGCAAAAGTATTTGGCTAAAGTAGTTTAAGCACAAATATTTGGCTGAAGTTGTTAAGCTCAACTATTTAACGATGGCGAAATTCCACGTGTATTTTATTGTCGTGGAACTCACAATGAACTTCTTTAATTCTTAAATACTATGATACCTCAATAGAATTCAAATTCACGGGTACTACGAGTTAATAATAAATGTAGAAAACGTATAATTATAAAAATTTACTTTGTTAAACAAAGTCGAAAGATGCAATCGCCCAACTTAAGTGACAGCTGCGTTTTTATTATTACAGTGTAACCCGGATATAAGAGAAACCCGGATATAAGAGACTTCTTCTCCGGTCCCGACAACTCTCTTATATCCGGGTTATACTGTATTTCTTTTACATTTGTAATTTTGTGGCTTTAAATAATTGGCATTTATTATTGAAATACTGTGCTGAAGATAACTGTATTTTTCTCCTCCTGGAACAACTCAACTACAAAAGAAATGGTTAAACCTCACTTATGGGCAGTAGTCCAATTGGGTGGCCGGACAGTTGTATACTGGACATTTGCGTCCCTGGTCATTTGCGCCCCTAGACAAATACCTCCCTGGATAAGTTCGTACCTCTGATAATTTTTTGAAGTTGCCATTTTTTATATTTTAAAGAGTTGTTTAATATAGAAATTTGCACACTAATACCTTTAATTACCCTAAAGAATCAGAAAGGTAGTTACCATAAATAAATAAAAAAGAGAGAAAATTTTTTTTTTCACAAGTGAAAAATAAGCTAGCAGTTTCAGTTTACCCCAGCAGTGCGTACCACAAACAGGAAACAAGTTTCGGATTTTATAGATTATATTTTTATTTGGAACCCATGGCTAAGTTCCGAAAATCAAACACTGGTGTGAAAATATTTGTGGACAAGGAAAATTGCAGCTACAACTATCATAAGAAAAACGTCGATGAAACAAAAACATACTGGCGACGTATATCTGTCATTGCATTTTAAATTAAAATAAACTTTTATTTTTTTAAAAATTTATTCCTCTCATACAAATTTTTGATTACTGTCTATGTTTTTTTTTTCAAAATTAATGGTAATTGCCTTTAAAAGGCTTCAAAAAATTATCAGAGGTAAGCAATTATCCAGAGACGCATTTGTCTAGGAACGCAAACGTGTCGGGACGCAGTTGCCAGGTACGTAATTGTCTGGAATACAAATGACCAGGATGCTACTGTCCAAGAACGGTCGAGTTTTATTGAATAAAGCTTCACTACAAGCTTAAAAAATTGTTTATAGTATATTTATATATACTTTTAAAATGTACGCCCTAACAATGTATATCTGTATGAATTATCACAATGCAAGATTAATTAACCATAATAATCAAAAGCCGAAAATAAATACGTTTTTAATGAATATAATAATATATTATTACCTTTATATTGGAGAAAGAGCTTTCATCTTAGAAATTTAATCGTTTTAAGAAAATTAATGATAGTGTGGTGAAAGGTAACCATAGTTATCATCCTTTTGAATTACTAGACTATAAAAGAAATGGTCGTACCTCAAAGCAGTAGTCACATTCTATTAAATAAAGCTTCACTACTAGCTTGAAATTTCGTCTGTTTTTTCATTGTAGATACAAAAAAAAAAAAAAAAAAAAAAGTGACACGAAGTCTGAAATGGTCATGGGAAGGAGCTGGTCTTCAATGTTCAATCTTAAATCAACTAGTCAAAATCACCTGCCCAAACGCACCAATATTGTTCCTTTCGCCAAAACTTCCTAATTACATTTATCAGGCGTGCTACAGACACCATAATATGGCAATTTCTTATGAAGTCATAACTAGTCCTATATAAACAATTTTGTGTTGGCCGGGGTGAAGACAGCAAAGACTTTTAAAAATTATCCCTGTGAATATATAAAATAAAATAAAATATTTATAAAAACAAAACAAAATGTTAGTATTAGAAACTCTCAGGCTTACGATCATATGAAATTGAAACCCCGGTTCCCGTACAATCACCGAAGTTAAGCAACATCGATCCTGCTCAGTATCTAAATGGGTGACCACTTGGGAATACCAAGAGTTGTAAGCTCGAAATTGTTAATAGGAAAACCGTGTTCCAATTCCAGTTGGTTTCGTTATATTCACTTACGCGCAAATACCCTTGGGAAAAGTATGAATTCACATATTCTTCCCCAGCTATGGGTTAATTAGTAAAACTTATTTCACTAAACAATTATTATCCACCCACCCACAAAAATTTTTAAAATATGAAAATATTTTCTGGCTTTAAATAACCTTCAAAAGATTAATAAAACATGGAAAACGAATTAAACAATGAAATACTGATTAGCTACAAAAGCATATCATTTAGATTTATTTACATTCTCTGGAATATAAATGCATAGAAACGACATAAAAATGAGGGATCAGTTTATATATTAATGGTGATAAAGAGTTGATCCTCCAGTTCATATCCACATTAATTCTTTTTTGTTCATCAAATTCTGATGTGGTATGAGTTCACCTCTTCTCACCCACAATTATCGGTTAATTACTAAGACTTGTATCACTAACTCATTATTATCACATAAGAAAAAAAAAAGAAAACAAAAGTAATATTCATACAATCTAAAAATATTTTCTTGTTTTAAATAGCAGGCGAATGGTTGATAAGTCATAAAAAACGAAACAATCAAACCGAAGATTCTAACCGTGGCATAGAAGACAGAAATGCGTGATTTGATCAGCAAGATCATTATTCACACAGACACGCAAACAATAACATACGTATTTAAAAACACAAAAACAAATACGAAAGGACAAAAGGCGAACGTCGTCCCGCATCTACCAGGGGACTGAAATCTTGGTCACTTAATGGAGGAGGCTTGGGGTTGTGGAATTAAACTAAATAAATAGAGAGGGTAATAAAAGAGACCAATGATCTAACTTCTAGCTAAGTTAGAACTGTTTAAAATTAAAAAAAAAAAATCCAAAAAAACTTAAGCTACCATGGATTGGGGTGATTAATACTCAGCTCAGAGGCACAAAAACGTCCAGATACCACTCCAGATCAGCATCTTTCATCTGGCACAAACACGCAACACAGAAAGAGAATCACTTCCTTTCTCTCTTAATCTTGGCTTTAAGTTTCTGCTTAAAGTACAAGATCAGTTGGGAAGACGAAAGTTTACCTGTATGAAATTCCTACAGTCATGTTGTGCAAATTCGGAGCTGCATGTGTCTTTAAATAGTCTTCCATCTTGTTGTTTTTAGTATTAATTGAGTACATTTTTTTCTTATGGCTTTAGGTTCTTAAATATCAGGTGATACAGCTCAATATAATTTCTTAGATTTACCTGTCCATTTTCTTAAGGAGTCGTACACTTCATTGAAATCTGTTTGCTCTGCGCTCGAAGATTCCATTGAAAATGTTATTCAACCTTTTTGAATTTTTTTCGTTGAAATCCTTTCTGCGGATTTGAACCAGCCAGTTGTTTGTAAATCAACCAGTCTCTTACGTAATACAGATGGACAGTTAATTAACAGTCAATTCTCTTTTACTGTTTACCTGTCTACCTAACTGACTAATTACCTGACAGCCAGATTCGTTACCTGTCAACGAATGTGAGGAACGGAAAGCGCTGCATGCCGACAACCTATTCAGCAAACCATTTTATGGGTTTTCACGACTATTCCACATGACTTCATGTAAAGCTGAAAAATGTAAAACATCTCTTTACACCTGCTGTAAATTCAGAACAACAACATATTAGAAGAAGGAAAGGATCCAACTCAGAAGCCCGCAATAATTACTGGAACTTCTAAAGTATTTACCGGCATATAAGGCGCACATTAAAATAAAAATGAAATCTACTGTGGGTAATGTGCTTCCCAAGAGAGAAAAAGTATTAAAAAAAAAAGCGTGAAAATTCGGTGAAAGCAAAGAAAAGAGTATTCAACTGTTAGGGGATATCAATTCTCCGTATGGTAGTGAATAATCTTCACAGATAACGTGAAGACGGGGTAGCAGAAATACTGCGAATACAATGGATGCATCATTTAAGCTACTTAAGGAAAACAAAATGTAAAGGATTCTTATATTAGAAACAAAAAGAGGAATCCGAATTTCCTCTGGCGCAAATTGAGGAAAGGGGGCTTTTTAATTTTGACAGTCACATGGCGAGCAAATCAGAGGGAAACAGCAAGTAACCTACCTAATGAGCTTTTGTAAATGGATGGTAAATCAGGGATTAGAACAATATTTAGGAATAATTATATCTACAAAGGGTAGTAGATATGAAGATCTATGGCCTGAAGGAACACGGCGAATAATAGAAGACAGTACGTATATGCGATGTGCTGAAAAGTTCTCAGCTCGACCAAATCACTATTTTGCATAATTAGAATGACACATGAACACAGTTTGTACTGTAGTTCCAAGCAATAATAAAATGTACTTTTCAATTAGCCGCCATCGATACTTTTATAATACCCTTTGCTTTTCTTCTTTTTCTCTCTTCTTCTTCAAACTGATCTCTCCTGATTTATATATATATATATATATATATATATATATATATATATATATATATATATATATATATATATATGTATTATATAATTTATGAATACGTGAAAAATTATATAAAAACTTAAACACAGCACCTTGTCAGTTTATTTTAATGAAACTTGTATAAATGAAGGATTGTTGCCCAAATACACAATTATTACATTTCATGGGCCGGCAGACAAGAAGGGAAGAATAATGGCTAAAGTTATAACCAAAAACGGTTAGAAAACATTTGATGAATTTTTTTTATAATTTATGTCCAGAAAGAAATAAGAACACATGAAAAATTATATTAAAAAACACAGCACCTTGTCATTCGTTTTGTAGCCGAAATACACAATCAATCAATATATATATATATATATATATATATATATATATATATATATATATATATATATATTATGTGAAATGGATTAGATCCCAGAAATGTTTTAATATATTTTTTCTGTTTATACGTTTTTTTTTTATGGATACACTTATTTGAGTAAATGTTCTGTTTTTTTAATTAAACTGTATTAATTACATCTACCGGCCTGAATGTTCGAGAAATTTCGTATTAAATTCCTCTCATATAGCACGTCACGCTAAATGACGATTCCGTTAAAGGATACTGGTTCGATTTCTTTTGGAGGACACATATTTCTATGAAATTTCTCGTACATTCGGGCCATATATATATATATATATATATATATATATATATATATATATATATATGGTGTGGGGGAGAAAACATACACATACAAATTTTTAATTTATTGTATTTCTAACTAATGAATAATATACTTTTCAAATAATTAACTGTACACGGATGTATAATAACTAAATATTCAACAGAAAGAAATTTGATTTAATAGATAGAAATAAATTCCATTCATCCATTTTAATGAGTGAAAAAGTATTCGTACAATAGAAAAAAGAATACATAATCTTTATTTAAAATTTTGTAGAATAACCATTATTCACTTCTACAGTAACTAAACTCTTCTTGCAGTTCTCAATTAATGATTTGCAAATTTTAGTTGGTATTTTTCTCCATTCTTCTTCGTATATGATCTTCAGATCCGGGATGTTTTTTTGTAACTCTCGATTGCATTTGAATTTTCTAATAACGCCATTCTCGATTGAGCTTAAATCTGGTGCATGACTTGGCCATATTTTTTAAGCATCCCCCTCCAAAGCAAAGGCGGAAGTGCCACTAGCACGCAAGGGGGTCACAGAGAGTGAATGCAAGAGTAAAGCGGGGTGTTTGAGGAATGGATAAAGAAGAGAACGGGGAACAAGATCAAGGCATCAGAAGATGTCGATTATTACATTTAAATATTTGAAGATTATAGCTACCAGGGAAGCAAGTAAGAGGAAGGGAGTTCCACAGACGGGAAGTGCGAGAAGAAAATGTTGGATTAGAAGAGACGGCTATATTTAACCGTTTCGACAGTGAACGGGTGGGAGCGAGATACCAACCTAGTAGCACGCTTAAATTCATGCAGTTTGGTAGCAGTGAAAGCAGCATATCGGTGTAGTTACCATGAAAATACTTGTAGAAAAGACAGAGGGAAGCCACATCACGTTTGTGAGAAATGACTTTACACGAGATACCAGATTAGGACCCATCACATTACGTATCTGTCTCTGGATTTTAAGGACTTTGGAGGACCTCGAGACGAACAGCGGGTGCATCAGACCATATATGGCAGCGGTATTCTATGCAAGGACGCATGGTTGATTTGTAGATTTGAAGGATGAGCGCTCTCGTGGGGTTGGGCATCAGCCATTCTTCGAGACCAGCCTTAACTTGTCAATCCCCCTCCTCTGATTTCTCGATTCATGGTTACCTTCTTCTCCTTAGAAACGACTCTAAAACCAACATGCATGGCTTGAAAGTTTACGCCCGGGACCATCTCCTACAGGCTAGAGAACTCTCTCTTGAATCTCCTTCCATTCATATATGTGTCCCCGTCTAGCTCTCCTCAATTTTGTAAGCTATCTCTTCTTTCTCTATCGCTCTCCATCCTCCCAAGACCTTGGTGTACACGATAGCATTTCCGATAATATAGACAAGGCCATCTCTCTACATCTATTTGCACATATGATACCACCACCAAATTTAACTATTGAAATTGTGTTCTTTTGTTTGAAGGCATCGACATCTTTGCTCTATACATGATTTCTAGAGTTACGTCGAAACAACTCAAATTAGGTTTCGTCTGTTCATAATATTCTTTCCCAATAAGATTTTTCCTTATCTTTATGCTCACGAATGAATTTCAACATGGCATTTCTGTGTCTTTTCCATAGCAGTGGCGTTTTCGGAGGCGAATGTGACTTTAGATTGTTCCTATGAATTTCAATGCTTATTGTCCGTTTACTGACACAGATTCCTGATGAAAGCAAATCATCCTGCAACTCTTGAGGAGTAAGCATTGAATTTTGTTTAATCTAACACATTCATTTCCTCAAAAATCTTCCGTGGAGCACCTGTTCTTTTTTGGTTTTCAGTTTTTTTAATACCTT